AGGGAGGCCGTACATCGTCTTGGGGTCCGCTTGGGTTATCTTGGGACCTTCTTGGAGGCCTGTTGGGCCGTCTCGGGGCCATCGAGGCTCCGTGGGCCGCCTTGAGCTGAAACCCGAAAAGGCAAGAATGCGAACATCATTTTTTTTTAAGATAGGGAAATCAATGAGTGTGTTCTTCGAACCTTGTTGGAGGTCCTTCTGTGGCCCTCATGGGGGCATCGTGGGCGGTCTTGAGGCCATATTCGGCCGCCTTGGGGCCATATTTGGCCGTTTTCGAAGCGTAGTGGGTCATCGCGGTTGGTGTGGTCACCCCTCCTCCAACGTACGCAGTTCCCCTTGCTTCGACTGCTCATTACATGAGGGGAGCCTCTTTGGAGGGCCAGGTCCGATATGACACGCGACGCCGGACGAAGAAAGAGCAGCGCCATGGGAAGGGATGATCAAGAGGGGTCGTACGTCATACATGGCGCGAGCGCGCTTAGATTGCCTGGCCCGTCTCTCTCTCTCTCTCTCTTTCTTTGTCTTTCTAGCTCTCTCCCCCTCTCTCTGTCACACTCCCTCCCTCCCGCCATACCTCCTCTTCTGGCGTTCCTCCCCCCCCGCCGCTCATCTCCCGAGATCGCTCCCGAACCTCACGTATATTTTGTTGGTAGCATTGGAGCGGGCTTCAGACAAAGAGAGACGCCTAACGACCAGAATGAAAGTGGTCTTCTCGCATGGATACCTGGGTTCTTCATATCTCCGACCCCGTTCGAAAGTCAGCCAGGTTCTGGATCTTCTGAAACTCTGTCAAAAAATATATGGGTTTTGCCCTGTCTTCTGGTCCGTGGAGCCTCCATTGCTTGTGGATTCCCGCCTCCTCCCAGCCCCCGTGCCTCCGCTCCTTCCCCCCTCTGCCTCTCCACTCGCTCGTCCCCTATCCTGCCCTCCCCTCACCCCTCCGCTCATGATCATATTCTTCCTGATCAGCGTGTCCCTTCTGATCCTACTCATGCCCGTCCCCCTCCTCCTCCTCCTCCTGCTCCTCCTCCTCCTCCTCCTCCTCCTCCTCCTCCATTCCTTCTCCCTATAAATAACTCCCCCATGTCGCACCCCGAGGCCAGTTTTTAGGGCGGGCCGGGCGTTTCGCCTGAGACTTCGTCACCATTGGTGATTCTGAAGCTTAAACATTGGCAACAGCTTCGCATATGGAGGGCGGTTGGTTTTCAAAATGTGGCTCTCGCCTCAGCGCCGCGCACATTCGTTTTTAAACGTTTGCAAGAGCTTCACGGATTAAGGACCGTTTTCAAAATGTTGTTCCCTCCTTAGCGCCGTGCAAATTCGTTCTTAACATTTGCAAGAGCTTCACGGATTGAGGATAACCCGTTTTCAAAATGGTTTTCGCTTTAGCGCCGCGCACATTCGTTTTAAAGAATTCAAGAGTTTCACGGATTGAGGGTTGTGCCTTTTCAAAATGTGGCTCTCGCCTTAGCGCCGCGTACATTCGTTCATACAATTTGCAAGAATTTCACGGATTCCCGCGATCAACGTACCAGAAATGGTGTTTTGGAAGGATTCCAGATTTTGCGGATTGTGCGGGTGCAACAGTTACGTTGATTCGCGGTGTTGGAATCCTAAGCATGGCTTCTGGCACTGTCCAGGATCGCCAAGACGCAACAGTCAGGTTGATCCGTGGCGCTGGAATCCCGAGAACAATGTTTTGGCATGCTTCCGGGTCTTCAAACGGTTGTCTTCCAACGAGGCAGATCCTTCAATGGAAATGAACCGTTGTAGGGGTCTATGAGCTTGGAGGGAGGGTGTATTCCAACATCGATGATGGCTCTTGGGTTTACACTGGTCCCCCTCCTCCTCCTCCTCCTCCTCCTCCTCCTCCTATCCCTCTCCTCCTCCTCATCCTCATCCTCATCATTATTTGACTTGGCATCCTCCTCCTCGTTTCTCACCATCATCATAAGCATCATCATAACCATAGTCATCATCATCAGCATCATCATTTTTATCAGCATCATCAGCATCAGCATCAGCATCCTCATCCTCATCATCATCCTCATCAGTATCATTATCATCGTCAGTGACATGGGCATTGTCATTGTCAGCATCAGAGTAGCATTGCCATCATCACCACCATCATCATCATCATCATCATCATCATCTTCGTCGTCGTCGCCGTCACTGTCTTTGTCGCCGACGGTCAGTATTGCCAGAAGCATGCTCATTATCAATATCAACGCCAGCATCATCACCATAATGAAAGTGGTCTTCTCGCATGGATACCTGGGTTCTTCATATCTCCGACCCCGTTCGAAAGTCAGCCAGGTTCTGGATCTTCTGAACATCTGTCAAAATATATCGGGGTTTTGCCCTGTCTTCTGGTCCGTGGAGCCTCCATTGCTTGTGGATTCCCGCCTCCTCCCAGCCCCCGTGCCTCCGCTCCTTCCCCCCTCTGCCTCTCCACTCGCTCGTCCCCTATCCTGCCCTCCCCTCACCCCTCCGCTCATGATCATATTCTTCCTGATCAGCGTGTCCCTTCTGATCCTACTCATGCCCGTCCCCCTCCTCCTCCTCCTCCTCCTGCTCCTTCTCCTCCTCCTCCTCCTCCTCCTCCTCCTCCTCCATTCCTTTTCCTTATAAATAACTCCCCCCTGTCGCACCCCGAGGCCAGTTTTTAGGGCGGGCCGGGCGTTTCGACTTCGCCACCATTGATGATTCTGAAGCTTAAACATTGGCAATACCTTCGCATATGGAGGGCGGTTGGTTTTCAAAATGTGGCCATCGCCTTAGTGCCGCGCACATTCGTCACTAAACGTTTGCAAGAGGTTCACGGATTGAGGACCGTTTTCAAAATGTTGTTCTCGCCTTAGCGCCGAGCAAATTCATTATTAACAGTTGCAAGAGCTTCACGGATTGAGGATAACCCGTTTTCAAAATGGTTTTCGTTTTAGCGCCGCGCACATTCGTTTTAAAGAATTCAAGAGCTTCACGGATTGAGGGCTGTTCTTTTTCACAATGTGGTTCTCGCCTTAGCGCCGCGTACATTCGTTTATATAAGAAAGAGCGTGTTCTACCGCTGCTGGCGGAAAACCGGGGGGGATCACCACCGGTTCGAACCCCTCCCCCCCCCATCGGGAAAACCGGGGGGGGTCACTACCGGTTCGAACCCCTCCCTCCCCCCCCCTCCCCAGTTCATCATGAAAAGGGGGGGGGCCACTACCGGTTCGACCCCCCCCCCCCCCTCGAAAACCGGGGGGGGTCATTACCGGTTCGAACACCCCCCCCCCCCCTCGAAAACCGAGTGGGGGTGCGGACAGTGGTGGGGACGGTGGTGGTGGGGACAGTGGTGAGGGGACAGCGGGACAGTGGTGGGGACAGTGGGACAGTGGTGGGGACGGTAGTGGTGGGGACAGTGGTGAGGACAATGGTGGGAACAGTGGGGACAGTGGACAGTGGTGGGGACGGTGGTGGTGGGGACAGTGGTGTGGGGACAGTGGGAATGAGGTGGAAACAGTGGGACAGTGGAGGGTACAGTGGTGGTGGGGACAGTGGTGAAGGCGGTGGCGAGGACGGCGGTGGGACAATGGGACAGAGGTACAGTGGGGACAGTGGTGGGAACTGGGGACAGTGGTGGGAACAGTGGGACAGCTCAGTGGGACAGCGGAGGAGTCAGTGGGACAGTGGGGACAGTGGGGATAGTCGGGCAGTGGTTGGGGCCGTGGAGAAAGTGGGGAGAGTGGAACCGTGGTGGGAACAGTGGTGGGGACAGTGGGGACAGTGACGACAGCTGGTGGGGGGCACTGGTGGGGACAGTAGGGACGGTGGTGGAACCAGTGGGGACAGTGGTGGTGAGGACAGTGGTGCTGGGAACAACAGTGGGGGATGTGGTGCGGACGGTGGTAGGGACCGGGAGTCGTTTGCTGGCGGTGAGGGGGGTGGGGAGGGGTTCGAACCGGTAGTGACCCCCCTCCGGTTTTCGAGGGGGGGGGGTTCGAACCGGTAGTGACCCCCCCCGGTTTTCGAGGGGGGGGGGGGGGGGAGGGGTAAGGGGAGGGGGGGGGTTTTTGCCGGGAGAGGGGAAGGGGGGGGGGGGGGGTCCAGCAGGGGGGGGGGGGGGGAGTTTCGGAGGGGGGGGGAGGGGGACCCCGGGCTCCGGAGGAAAAGGGGGGCAATTTTCCACAGTAAAGCAGCGGTGGAACACGCTCTCTCTCATATAATTGCAAGAGTTTCCCGGATTCCCACGATCAACGTACCAGAAATTGCGTTTTGGAAGGATTCCAGATTTTGCGGATTGCGCGGGCGCGACAGTTACGTTGATTCGCGGTGCTGGAATCCCAAGAATGGTTTTCTGGCACGATCCAGGATCGTCAAGACGCAACAGTCAGGTTGATCCGTGGCGCTGGAATCCCGAGAACAATGCTTTGGCATGCTTCCGGGTCTTCAAACGGTTGTCTTCCAACGAGGCAGATCCTTCAATGGAAAATGAACCGTTGTAGGGGTATATGAGCTTGGAGGGAAGGTGTATTCCAACATCGTTGATGGCTCTTGGGCTTACATTGGTCCCCCTCCTCCTCCTCCTCCTCCTCCTCCTCCTCCTCCTCCTCCTCCTCCTCCTCCTCCTCCTCCTCCTCCCCCTCCTCATTGTTTAAAGGCCGGCCTCATCTTTTACGATGTACGCGCCGCGTTCCCCAGTCTGCTGCACGAGGCAATGTTCGCGACGCTAGATGCCATGGAAGTGCCCGCCTTTTTTTATCAAAGCTCTGAAGTGTCTGTATCGTGGCGTATGGATATCTATATCGTATCGTGGTATGCATCGGGACATAGGGTACTGGCTCACCCGCGGCATCAAGCAAGGTTGTCCCGCCAGCGGCTCGCTCTTTGCGCTGGCTGTGGACCCAGTGATTCGGAAGATCTGCCTCCTGCTGCCTCGTCCCGTCCACTCCTTGGGGACCTTTGCCGACGATGTCGGCCTCGGTTCTAGTGACATCGTGAAAGCCTTTTTTCCTCAGCATGAGCGTGTGGGCCCTGGCTGGCCCTGGGTTTGGACTGTACGTCAACCTGGGCAAAACTGTCGTGGTGCTTCTCAGTATGAGTATGGCTGATTTTCTGGCTGCGCTGGAGGTCCTAGGGTTGAAAGCTCCTGGTCTTAAGTTCGAGGCTCACGGGAAGTACCTCGGGGTTCGTCTGGGTCCTGACAGTATTGACGCGTCCTGGGAGCCCGCCCTTCAGAAGTTCGTCCGCCGCATCAACCTCATCCACGGCCTCGGGTTAGGGCTCACCAAAACTGTCGCCCAGTATAACATGATCGCGTTCTCTGTGCTCGCCTTTCTGTGTCAGCTGGTGCCGACTACTCAGAGGTGCCTGAAGCTTGAGAGGGCTGGGCTCCAGAAGCTCACGATGGGTCCTGACAATGCCGTGACACCTAAGATGATGATGGGCCTCACGCAGCTCGGGTTTCCTCTAGATGCGCGCTCTCTTGCACTCGTCAGCCGCGCGGCCATGTACCGTGCAGCCTCATACTCGCTGGCCTTTTTTGAGATTCGGAACGACCTGAGCGCTTTCGAAGACGACGACGACTGTTGCCACGTCTGGACCGAGCATCCGTGGTGGAAAACATAGTATCTGCTATGATTAACAACTATGACGAGATGACTGCGATTCCTGGCATACCCCAGTATGCGGCCCCCCTTTCAGAAAAAAGGCGGAGTTGGTTCTGCGTCGTCATTATTACCCAGATGTGACCGCTTGTGTAGTAGCACGTGCTAGAAAATATGACCCGCAAGTGTCTGTCTGGGATATCAAGTGTTTTAGCTTGGCCTTCTTGAGGGCCGCCCAGAAAGTTCCGCCCTCGGTTTTATCGTCTTATCTCAAGACGATGTGCAATGCTTGGTGCACTTCGGGGCGCTTTCGGTCGACCACTCTGGCCTGCCCGATGTGTGGCCTCCCTGAGGCCGGTCATCTAAAACACGTTTTAGAATGCTCTAAGTTTGACTGTATTACTATCTTCCTGCCCCATCTTCCTGCCCAGTCTTGTCTCGCCGATGGTTTGTCTAGATGTCAGGTTTATAAGGTTTTCCCCTTGTCTGGCACCGCATTGCTATCTATTGTGCTGTATATCGATGCCTGCTTCAACACTTACCACACCATGCGTTCTCGTCCCGCCGCCGCTCGATCGGTCGCAGCCGTGGCGCAGGCCAGGTTTCAGCAGGTCGTGCGAAGGCGGCCCGACCTGAACCAGCTCGTGGGCACGGCTCCGCAGACGGCGCCCCAGCCTGGCCCGAGGAGGACCTGAGGACCGCCCCGCCATGGTTTCGAATGCAGGCCATAGCATTCTTAGCCTTCCCATGGTGCGAGTTCCCTCCTCCTCCCCCTCCTCCTCTTCCTCCTCCTCCTCCTCCTCCTCCTCCTCCTCCTATCCCTCTCCTCCTCCTCATCCTCATCCTCCTCATTATTTGACTTGGTATCCTCCTCCTCGTTCTCACCATAATCCCGCTGCGTATCCTTCAGCTCCCTTCTTATTGTCTTCGTTCTCCCCACCATGCCACTTTTCTTATATACCTCTTCTTCCCCTAGTCATCACCTCATGTATTCGCATCATCCTCATCCGCGTCAGCATCATCATCAGAAGCATCACCATACCCGTATTCATAATCATCATCATCATCAACAACAGCAGCAGCATCATCAGCATCATCATCAGCATCATCATATTATCAGCATCATCAGCATCCTCATCCTCATCCGCATCCTCATCAGTACCATTATCATCGCCAGTGGCATGGGCATTGTCGTTGTCAGTATCAGAGTAGCATTGCCATCATCACCATCATTATCATCATATTCGTCGCCGTCGCTGTCTTTGTCGCCGAAGATCAGTATTGCCAGAAGCGTTCTCATTATCATTATCAAAACCAGCATCAGCACCATCGCCGTCATCAGCATCGTAATCATGTGCATCCTCACCAGCATCGCCATTATCATCAGCACCATCATCACCATCATCATCATCATCATTATCATCACGCCCGTCATCCTCATCGTAATCATGTGTATTATTCGTCTTCCACCTGCAGCTCAGAAGATGGTGGCCCATCGCAGTCAGCTGGATGCACGATTTTTGCAGCGTGCTTGTGCATGCTGGACGCGGCGCTCGAGGTGTGCGCGCGCGGGAAACGTCAGCCGCGCCCCCCTGCCACAGTTGAGCAGGACCGGTGAGGCGGGGAGGAGGAGGACGACGACGATAACGACGACGAGGATCGAACGCCACTGAGGGGAAAAGCGGGGGAGAGAGAGGCCCGATGAGTCAAAAAAGCCCAGGGGGGCTCGTCCGAGGAACCTGTTTGTCACCCTGGCAGTGGCCGACTGCCCTGCCACGCGCCAGCGACAAGGCCCTCCCCCGGAAGACAGCCGTTCATCTTCGGGCGGCGGGGTTGCTGGCCTGCTTCCGCTCCCGAAGCCTCTCGCCGAGGGACCTCGCCTCGGAGGAATATTAGGAGGACGGCGATGATCGAGGCCAGAACAGGGCGGCGAATCGTGCACCGCGAAGCACTCCCCCCCCACCCTTCCCCATCCCCCACTCCCCGGGGGAGGGGGGCAAGTTTAGGACAGGATTCGGGGGTCCATCTTCCTCCGAAGGGCGAGGACGAGGAGGGGAAGCAGGAGGTCGGAAAAAGGCAGGAGGAAGGAGGAGGACGCGCCACAGTATTGGGGTTTAGCGCGTTCTTGCGTGGTCCACCTCTTTTTCTTGCTGGAGGTCCGCTTCATCCTCCTTATCCGGCTGATGTATTTCTCATGGAGGCCAGATGCCGAGCCAGTGCCAAGCAACCCACCCGAGTGCGGAAATTCATGCAGTCATGGGCTTAGAGCGGCGACGGCGGCGGGCGGCCTGGATCCTGGACTCCCCAAGGGGCGTTCACTCCTTACCCGGCTGATGCTTTGACATCTGTTGGCCCTGCGGTTTCGACTTGTTTGTCGAATGGTGTGTCCCTGGGTGCACCAGCTCAACGAACAGTTTGGTGCAATGGTAATTGCAGGGCGAAGGCACAGCGCCTGCTGGTCATGGATGGCACACTGGGGGTGGTCACGCTGTTTCACCATATCAGCATTGCCCCCCATTCGCACGAACGGCGCAGGTCTTTCAGACGCGGTAGATCCATCACAGCAGGGCGTATCAGATGTTCAAGCGCGCCGCGGAAATGCAATTTTCATCCGCGAATTGGCGACTACAAAGATGGGCATGGGCTGCATACACTGGCAAACAAAGGCGCAACTCGCCTCCTGTGTCGGTCGGGCTACGCCACGACGCAGCCTAAACCATCCCGACTGCGTGATGCTGTCGCTGTTGGGAGGAACAAACGAAGATTGCGCTCCATCCATGGGCATGCATGTAGCGCACCAGCGACAGAGGCAATCAGAGTTTCGAGCTCCCGCAAGGAACTGCATAGAAACAGCGCGGGGCCACCCCATGTTGCGCGGCTGCCGAGAAGAGCAGCTTCAGAGCCACCAGATGCGAGTGAAAAGGGGGGCGCCCATCGCATCACGCAAGAATCGCACAGGACACCTAAGCTTGTCCACAGCTGGCGCCAGACGCATCATTGCGTGGTACTTCGGTGGAAGCCGCCTCACAAAGCGGTAGAGAATCATCAGCACAGCTGAAACATGGCGACCAAGCGTGTCGTAATTCTAGGAGTTTACCTCCGCCACCACCACTACGACCGAAGCTGCCTCCTCTGCCACCAACGACATCTAAATGTCATCCAGCGCAAAAGCTTCGCTCACCACTACCACTTTTCTCGGCGCTGCACCTTGCAGTGCCCGACAAGGGGAAACAGAAGTTCACATGCGGTCGAAGCTAACGCTTTATTTAGAGTGTTTCGGCTAAGCCGTTCGAAAGAATGCATCGCATTCAGGTCGGCGCACCTGGGCCCTACATAACGCGTTTGTTGGAAGATGTCTGAAGCGAGTCACCGCCGCCCCCTGCCTTTATAGACATGGACATGTGTCCAACGTGCTGGGGCTCAGGGTGGCCATGCCATTAGACATTATGCTCCCCCAGCTGTTGTGGATATCATTTGGGAGAACACTTGTGGGAGGAATAGGGGAGGAGAAGGAGAGGGAGGAGGATGGGGGAGCCTCCCAGAGGCGTCTTTGGGTTTCTTGGGAGAGGTTCTGACGGGTTCAATCGGGCATATTGAGGGCTTCTTGCGGGCCCCATCAGGGTTCTTGAGGGCTTCTTGGGCCGTCTTGCGGCGCTCTTGGCCCGACCAGTGCCTTCGGAGGCCGCGTTGAGGACGTCTCAGGGCTGTCTTGGGGTCATCTGACCTGGAGCCCCCTTGGGTCCCTCTTGGGTCAGCTTAGGTCTCTCGTGGGCCGTCTTGGGGTACTACTGGCCCGTCGGGCGCCTTCGGGGCCGTCTCGTGAGCCGCGTTGAGACTCTCTTGGGCCGTTTCGGTGCCATCTGGAGCTGTTTGTGGGGCTTCTTGGGCCATCTGTATGCTCTTGGGCCGTGTGAGGCCCCTATTGTAGGCCTACGTTGATATTGAATACCTCTGTCGTCGGCTGTCGGAGCTCGAAAGGACGAGAAGGCGAAATCGAGAGTTGGGTTTCTTTGAGCCCTCTGGAGCTTTTATCAGAGGCTTCGTGGATTGGAGGCCTCTGTGGCTATCTGAAAGAGCGCCGCCAGCCATTATTGGAAAGCCCCCCCCAGTTCGAACTGGGGGGTGGGGGGTGTTAACAGCTTCCCGTTTCGAACCGGTGGGGGCCTGTCCCTTGCCAACATTCGAATTTGAAAAGAGGGTGGAATTGTTGATTGTCCGTGTAATGCCAGGCAGCCTCGCCCGCTTCGCTGACAACAAGCTCAAAACAAGTTCGAACAAAGCGCAAACAAAGCTGAACGAAAGCTCCAACGAAGCTCAGGCAAAGCTCAAGCAAAGCTCCAAGAAAGCTCCAACAACGCCCAACCAAAACCCAAACAAAGCTCAAACACAGTTCAAACAAATCTCAACCAAGGCTCCAACAAAGCTCCAAGACAACTCAATCAAAGCTCAAGCAAAGCTCCAAGAAATTTCCAACGAAGCTCCAACTGAGTTCAAACATAGCTCAACCAAAGCTCCAACGAAGCTCAAGCAAAGCTTAAACAAAGCTCAAACAAGACCCAACCAAAGCTCCAAGAAAGCTGAAAGAAAGCTCAAACAAAGCTCCAACAAAGCTCAACACACATCTCCAACAATGTTCAAACAAAGCTCCAGGAACGCTCAAACAAAGCTCAAACAAAGTTCAACATCGTTCCGAATTTAGGGCGGAGAGGGGATCGTTCCCCCCACTCTGGTTCGTGCTGGGGGATTGAGTCTGTACCCACCCCCCGCCCCCAGTTCGAACCAAGGGGGGGGTTCTTTGTCGCCTCCCCCCCTTGCCCCCCCTCGGTGTCCGGGCAGGGGGGGCCCCCCCCCCACTTGGTTCGAACCCGCAGGGGGGGCGTCTGTGCCCCCCCCGCCCGGCCGAGCCGGTCGCGCCAGACTAGCTGGCCGTTCCGCACGCGAGCCTGCACGCGCTAGCGCGGCCGCCGAGCTGCGCCAGCCAGGGCCAAGCTGTCATGGCAATCGCCGCCGCAGGTGTTTTGCAAACCACGTTGCAGGTGGGGGGTGTTGGGTGAGATGATTGTGCGATCAGTGGAGTTGACACTTCAAGGTTGGCAGAGCGAACTGCACCGCATAGATTGCACCACGCCGATTGCAACACGTATACTGCCCCACCGAGACTGATCGATTTATATACGCCGATCGGTTGGGACCCGCGTTGTGCGCTCTCTCTCTCTCTCTCTCTCTCTCTCTCTATATATATATAGAGATGTAGTACACATGTATACGTACATAAATATACATGCACATACACGTATACACATGTGCATCTGTATACACAAGTACATGTATACACATACACATATACGTATACACATCACAAACGGCAAGCCTTGAGCCCCAATCTCCTCTGGGCGAAGATGGAGTGTGGCGCCCCGCAGGACAATGCGCAAAACGAAGGCGGCCAGTTCCGACGGCAACCTCGTCAACGCGGGCGCCGCCGATCTTCGCGCGCCCCGGAGAGTCGACGCCCTCGTCTTCCCCTTCCTACCCCCCCCCCCCTGTTCATCCTTCCTCCACCCCCCCCTTCCTTCCCATCACGACCCCCCTCTGCTTTCCCTCTTCCTCTGCCCGCGCCCTCTTCTTTCCCTTTCCTCTCCCTTACGATTACCCGTATGACGACTACGATTGTTTCTTCTTCTGTTTTTTACTACTACTACTACTACTACTACTACTACTACTACTAATACTACTACTACTACTACTAC